ATGATCATTTTAATTGATTCTACTCTTTGTAGAATTCCTAAAAAAGGTATCAAACTCCACCTGTCCAAATCTTTCTTTACATTAGCTATTAATGGATCATAATTTGTGGCATTTATTCTCTCTATTTTCTGGGGAATATTTATTCCCAAATATGTCATTGATTCCATATCCCAATTAATTTTAAATAATTTCTTGATATCGTATTCTGGTTTATAATTGAATGTCAGCACCTGAGTTTTATGAGGGTTTAATCTGTAACCAGATGCTTTCCCATAGTCCATTAGAGTTTTATATAGCTCTGGAATTGATTCTGCTGGTTTTGTTAAGTAAATTAGAATGTCATCTGCAAATAGTGCAATCTTTTGTTCCATGCCATTCACCGTGATGCCTTTTATTTTTATATTTTGCCTTATCCACTGCGCTAAAGGCTCAATGAATATTGCAAACAGAATTGGTGACAAATGGCAGCCCTGTCTACAGCCTTGTTCGATTTTTAAGGGGTCTGTTAGGCCACCATTTATTCTGATTTTCCCAGTGGGTTTGTTGTATAGGCCTTGAATTATTTTTATAAATTTTTCTGAAAAATTAAAGCGAGAAAGTACCCGATACAGAAATGTCCAATCTACGGTGTCAAATGCTTTCTGGGCGTCTAGGCCCATAATTACTGCTTGGGCTTTTTTTTTTGTATCTGGTGAATCACATGGAACGTCCGTCTGATGTTATCTCTTGTCTTTCTTTCCTTGATAAATCCTGTCTGGTTCAGGTTTATTATATCAGGTATGATATGCTCTAATCTTCTTGCCATTATTGAGGTAAAGATTTTATAATCTTGGTTCAAAAGGCTGATTGGTCTGAAATTGGAACAATCCAATTTGTCTTTTCCCTCTTTCGGGATAACTGTAATTATTGTCTCTCTCCATGTTGGGGGGGATCTGACCTCCATTTAAAACCCAGTTGAATGTTTTCAAAAGAAGAGGTGTGAGTTCTTCTATGTAAATTTTGTACCAATCCGCATTATATCCATCTGCGCCTGGGGACTTGTGTAGTTTTAGTCTTTTTATCGCTTTTGTTAATTCTTGAGCGGTAATTGTATTTGTTAAAGTTCTATTTTGTTCTTCTGAGATTATTGGTAGTTTTAGTTTGTCTAACAATGTTTTAGTCAAATCTTTTTCATCCCGTTGTTTTAAGGAATAGAGCTTTTGATAATACCTTGCAAAACACTCTCCAATTTCTTTCTGTTCGTAGATTACTTCCTTCGTTGATGTTTTCTTATTTTATATATGGCTCTTTCAGCTTGCTGTTTTTTCAATCTATATGCTAGAGTTTTGGCTGATTTACTTCCTGCTTCATAATAGTTTTGTTTTAAATATAAGAGCTTTTTATTTATATGAATTTCTAGTTCTTGGTTTATTTCCTTTTTAATTTTCCTGATCTTCTGCAAAGCATCATCATCTTGTTTTAATTTATGTTGGTCTTCCAATACACTTAGTTGTAGTTCCAAATTTCTAATTTTTTCTTGGCGTTTTCTTTTCAGTAATGTGGCTTTTGCAATCAATTTACCCCTCAGAACCGCTTTACGCATCCCACAATATTTCTGGAGAAACATTGTCCTTATCATTATCTTCGATATATCTCCTGATTTCTTCTTTTATTTCTTCCTTAATTTCCCCTTTGAGTATACTTGAATTTAGTCTCCAGAGGAATGGTGCTTTTGTCTTGTCGGTGTAAATTTTCATATACACAGGGCTATGGTCCGAGAGGTCCATTGATCCAAAATGACATTCTTTTACCCTTTCTATATCCTTTTTAAACATAACGAAATAGTCAAGTCTCGAGTAGGTACGATGGGTTGCAGAGTAAAATGTATAATCTTTTTGTTGTGGGTGATATTCACGCCACACGTCAGATATTCCCATTTCCCTCATGAATTTTCCGATTTTCTTCCCTATGTTGTTGTGTGAGATTTGTGCCGAGGAGTCCAGTAAAGTTTTTAGTCTTACATTAAAATCTCCTCCACAAATCATGACACCTTGTGTTTTGGTTATCATCAAATCCAATATACACTTATAGAAATACCATTGTGAACCTGGAGGTGTGTAAACATTGAAGAGGGTGACATCTAAGCCATCAAGTTTACCAATTATCACTGTTACAGGTAAACCCCGTCTGGCCATGTCTTTTGTCGCGTCCGCTGCAGACGCGTAGATCCTCGTGTCACCCTCATAGAAAACTTTCAGTTTTGACGGGTACGGTGTTTGGAACCTTATCTTGTTTTCTCTCAAAACTCTTTTCGCTTCTGTGTATTCACGGCGTTTTTTCAGTATATCCGGGGCGTAGTCGTGGTCCACCATCACCTTTTTTTTTTCCAGCGTTAGTCCTCTTCTTTGCCACACTTGTTTCAAAACTTCCTCTTTTGTTTTGTATGAGGCAAATTTAACCACTATTGACCGCGGTGTTGCTTCGGGTGGCGGCTTCGGCCCGAGAGAGCGGTGTCCTCGCTCTATGGTCAAATCCAGCGTCGGCGGGAGGGCTAAATTCTCTCTGAGCAAAGTCGTGACAAAGTCCGAGACTGATGGAGAGCCATCCTCTGCCCCCTCCGGAATGAAATGAAAGCGAACATTTTCACGTCTGGAACTTGATTCCAAGTCTATGATTTTTGCTTGAAGTTCCTCTTGCACCTTAACAAGCTCAAGTGTTGCTTCCTCGATGTGTTGTGTTCTGTCTTCCACCTCCGCAATGCGCTTTTCTGCATCGTCAAGTCTCTTATCAACTCTCTCTTTCAGTTCGCGGAAGTTTTGGTCATTTTCACGACGTGAGTGTCTGAGCTCATGGAGGATAGTTTGGAGATTTACTGTTTCTTCGTCTGCTTCCAGCGGCTCCATGTGGAGCGCCTCTGTCTCTGAGTGGCTAGCATAGCCATCTCTGCTCTTGTCCTCTTCATTCAATGAAGTCATGTCTTGACTTGGTAAAGTGTTCCGTGGTTTAGTTTTAAGCTTGTTTCTGACTTTATCTTTCATTCTTGAGTAGAAGATATAGGAAAGAAAAACTCAGTTTAACGAGGGAGGATAAAATAAACACATTATCGGGAGCGCCACGAGGTTAAGCTGCCGTCATCTTGGTTGCTCACCCGGAAGTCCTCCCCAGGTTTGTTTTAACATGGTTTAAAGCTCACAAGAGTTAATTCTGTGTAATATAGGACCTCTAACCACTGTTTACTTAATAGTATTGCATTTAGTCAAGAATTTTTCACTATTAGGGATATAATGATATCCTAATGTCACGGTACAATATTATCACGATATGCATCTCACGGTAAGATAAATACTGATATTTTGTAGCTGAAATAATTGTAGATAGGGCTCTTTTTTGCTTTTAAAATACCTTGACAAGATTTTGGTGTGAATTATTTCCATCATAATCCCAAGAATTCACATCAAAAACATATTTTTTCATGTTGTCTGCACTGAAATGAATCATGGGATATGTAGTTTTTGATGTTCATAAGCTGTTGCTACTATAAAACCATGCATTTAAGCAAAGGAACTTGTAATTCGACTTATTTTGTGACAGCCCACAATATTATTGTGAGACTTAACGATACGATATCACTATATTTCGGTTATTGTTACCTTCCTACTCACTATACATACAACTTCAAAAGCTAAACAGAAGTGTGCGCCAGTCCTCATTGATAAAACTCGCATGAGCAAACAACTACACTCTTGACCCTTGCACTTCCAACATGCTGAGACAACAAAACAAAACAAAAAAACTTTTTGTTAAAACACAAACTGGGCAAACAATCAAAAACATTTAGACATGTACCAACCAGAATCTTTACAATACAGCCTCTCGATAAATGCGGAGCTCTCAAATCCTCTAATAAAACTTAAAATGCACCAGTGAAGAGAAGAGGGGGCAAGAATGATTTAAATTCAGGGGAGACCAACAGTTTGGCCCACACACTCAACAAGGAATTCCATTGAGCGAGTTTTATTAATCACGGCCAACTCAGTAAAGTGCAGTAAAAGCTGAGTAGACTGAAATAAACACAGAAAAACAAGCATAGAGACATTGCACATATGAAAATCTGAAAAAGATACGTACCTCTTAGGTGAACACTAATGACATTACAATGCATAGATTCATATTATAATACTAGATTGCATATACTAAATAATACTACCCTTCTATTAATCAAACTAGGGACTGGCTAAAAAAACTTTAACTTAAGATTGGTCCAGTTCTGGTTGGTGTAATTCGGGTAAGCAGACTGAGAACATATAGGTTGGTAAATACAAAAGTAGACAAAAGTTGAATTTGTCTGTAACAGATTTCAATTTCCATTTTGGGGATTTAGTTTTATTTATTCTATGCCAATTCTCTATCATTTTGAAATCCATTAACATCTAGGGTTATAAGGCCTGTTTACACAAGAACGCTTACAGGTAAAAATGACAAAATATTTTATCGGAAGTGCCTTTCATTTAGACGGTGACGGCGTTTTTGGGGCTTAAAAACATCAAAATCTGAAACTACCCTTTAGAGTGGAAAAGTTTAATATGTTCCGCCGTACATACAGAACACAGAAACAAACATGTAGCTATAGCTGCCGGCCATGTATACTCAATCAAATTCCACACACTTTTGTATCACCGTAAACATGGAATAAAAAGTGAAGATGCAACGCCACTGTTCATGATATCTAAAAAGTTGTTGTGATCTCTGCATTATCAGTATTTACAAACATAATGATATAGGATGCCAAAAGTCTGCTAAATTCCCATAGTTTCTGAACGTAACTGTTGTAACGCTCTGGATATATGAGTGTTTTGTAGCTGATGTCCTGACTAGGAATCCAGCTTTTTCAATACCGATACGTCGGTTTTAAGTATCTGTCAATACAAGATACCAACCGATATAAGCGCAGAAACTAAAAACAGCATTTACGTTCTTTAAACTAAATTAAAATAAGACAAAACTGGATCTGTGAGTGTTACCTCTTTATATGAGGACATGATTCTCTCGATGGCGTCCGCTCCAGAGGCCAGGAGGTTCCTCGCTGTCGTGAAGGCCTCTGTGCGCTCGCTCACCATGACCTGAGGCTGACCGTCTGCACTCGCTACACAAAACACAACAGGGTTTAAGTGACAGCAAATAACAAGGGACAGTAATAGGCATTAGGGCTGCAAGAGAGTCACAACTAGCAAATCGCAAAGGCTTTACTTTTAGAACAAAACAGAATTTCCCCACAAACAACAAAATATCCTGTTTTATAGTTTATATCTGTACAAACATGTTCTGAAATTAGATTTTTGTATTAGTTTATCAGTTCATATTTCATCTTTTTGTCACTTCTTCGGGACATGTTTAAAATGTGAACTTCTAACAGAACCCAATTATTAAAACATAAATTGCAAATCTAACAGCAAACGCCATGCATGTTTTTAAAATCGCAATTGATGGGACAAGACACAATTTCTACGAGACAAGACATGACATGAGATTCAGCTCACGAGAATGAGGCAAGACGAGATTTTGATTTATTTTTAAAATAAATGAATTGTGCCATTCAATTCACAATTGTGGCTTCACAATTTTTTGTTGATTTAATTTTATAGTTTTGCAGTCATTGTAGCTCTGCTTTTTGGAATTACAGCTTCTCAAGAGGAGTTACTCTGCCAAGTTAACCCCCTTTTCATCCAAGGCAAACGTAAAAATATGAGGAAAAAAATTCTTGTCTTGTGGATGTTTTGTCTCATGAGATCTTGTGGCAAGAGATCTTATCCCATCCCTAAAATTAGCCCTAATACACACAATATATATGCACAAATATAAACTCTTTATAAATAGTGAACAACAGTATGGAGCTCAACACTCCCAACACAAAGCTAGCTATGATTCTAGGAGTAAAATCACTAATCACCAATTTTGCCCATTATTTTTTCAAAATGGATAAATACAAGTTTGACAATGTAATCTCTTGGGATGGTACAAGATGGTGCACACAAGAGAAAAAATATTTTGTGAGTTTTTTTTCCATGTGTTTGCATTTAGATCGGACATAAAAAAGGGTTACATGTTAGTGAGTTAAATCTTCCAAAAAGCAGTGCTAGAATGGAAACAAATCTATGAAATGAAATAAATAACAAAATTCTGATGCCAAAATTATAATAATTATAACTGTGAAATGTATTATTTTATTAAGAATTATGTTAAAATCTCATCTTGTCTCGTTCTTGTGGACCCAATCTTGTCTCATCGTGTGGAAATTTTGTGTTGTCCCATCCCTACATTCACCATTAATTTTCGCCACAACCTTTTCAAATTGGATAAATATGAGCTTAATTATGTAATTCCTCATTTGTCCATAGCTTAATGTTGGCTAGTTTGTTTAAAAATGTGTTTCAAAATGTACCAAATGATTGTACTGTACTGTAATTACTATTTTTTAAGAGGACTACAGGAAAATTAGTAGTCATTAAATTGACAGCTATTAAAACAATAAACAATAATAATACTTTTGTATACAGAAATACATATATTTCTGTGTATTATAACGTTTAAAGTATCATTTCTGGAGTAAATATTAGTACGCTTTGGACATTAGTTACCACATAGCTCCAGAATTAAAAGTTCAAACTCATAATATACTTCTCTGTCTGAAAGTCAACGGGAAAGAATGATGTGAGTTTTACTTCCGGAGGTGGGCGAGACTGTGGAGCTGTATTGAGATGCCACGGACAGAATTCAAGTATTATCCCCACAATACAATAGTACTGCACAAAAGAGACTCCTTATAAAGAGCCTGATTTGAATGTAACTCAGATGGCAGCAGGAGGTGTGGGAGGCAGGTTTCACATGTGCTAATCAGAGGAAGATCTACCGCTGTGAGAAATAAGCCAACTCAACTGACATCTGCCAACTACAATGGAGCCAGATGCTAATAAACATGTACCTTGTGTAAAGAGCAAAAACAGGGTGTAATGTGCATGTTTTTGGTTACTGTTTCCTCAGTGTGACTTTCATATTAATTTTCTGAAGTACATTAATATAATTTTGTAACGAACTGCAATTAAGGAATATTTTTTTGCTTTATTCTGAAATGTAGTTGACATAATTTAATTAATTTCTTTCAAACAATTAAAATGAGTGTTGCAAATCAAGCTTTTAATTAAAAGTGCTATATTACACAAAATTGACTCTTTTGAGCTTTAAGTCATATTATAATGTTGTTAGCTCCTCAGAAACATATCCAGAGTTTTGTTTCATTCACACATGTTTGAGTAACACTTCATTATTAGTCTGTCTACAACTCCAAAGCTCAAAATGCTCTGTTAACAGCTACATTTTACATTTGGTTTAGCAGAGATGGGCAATTTGAGGGCTGAAATCAGTGATTCTAGTGAAGGTGTATGGAGTGTTTTCTGTTTGAGAGAAACACTCAACTCAAGTGTGACTGAAACAAAACACAACTCCAGGTATGTTTCTGTAGAGGAAACAATATTATAACATAGATCAGAAAACAGTGTAATATGGGCTTTTTCTCTCTAATCATGAACTCCCCTACAGTTTACAAAGTCAACATCTGACTTTATATGTTTCTTATTATGGTTTACTTGTTTGTCCCCGCAGGGAAATTTATCCTCCGTGTTTGACTCATCCTTCAGTGCTGCTGTCAGGAGCAATCGGCCCAGGAACCGAAATCTTGAGCTTGGTCAGGACTACATAAGCTGGAAAATTTGCTCTATGGTGCATGCTTTGGTTTAAAGGGAGAAAACAGGAGTCAAACCTAGAACTAGAGATTGACCAGTATGGGGTTTTTCATGGCTGATGCTGTTACAGATTATTTAGAATCCAGAGAAAACAATAGTTGATACAGTTGGGCTAATACATAGAGCCTATTTTGATTGTTTTCCCCATATAATGGCATTTAAATTACAAAAAACTCACTCACAGGCCTTTTTTAACACAAATTTATAAGACAGTTGTGTAGTATGTAGGGCTGGGTATCATCAGAAGTTTCTGATAAGATACATACCTCGATACATAAGCCATGATATGATACATATCTCGATAAATTGAGCTTTCAATTCAATACGGTTCAATAAAAATCATGGCTAAATCATGGCTGTGATACTAAAAGTCTTTGTTGAACCACTTCTTGTGCAAAGTTAATATGAAACCCACCCATTTTAATCCTCAAAACAGTGAAAATTTCAAATGTGTTGCATAAGTTTCCTTCCACTAAACAAGCAACAAAACTGTAGCATTATAACAAAATAATTACGTAAAATATACCAAAAAACACTTGTGGCGATATATCGATACAACAGCCCATGATATCAATACAGTATCATTACATTAAATGATACGATATATCGATATTTCAAGATTTTAGTAGTATGTTTTGTGCAGTTATCTTTTCACACTGAAGTTTTCTAATAAGGGTTTACGCATACTTTACAGCAGGTTGGGCAAAACTAAATATAGGCCGGTTCTTGAGATTTAAGGCCAGTATATAGGTCAATCTCTACCCTGTGCCTTCTTGCTGTGAGGTGAGAGTGCTCGCCATGCTGTCCATATTATAACTTCCTTATTCTAATATTAACTCAATGCCAACTTACCATTGTCAGCAAACCCAGTGGCAGTGATGATGGGCACTGCCACCATGACCAGTCCACTCCCGCTCCACACATACTTCATGAGGAACTGCTCGATCATGATGTACCACAGACGTTTGGACAGAATCAGGTTCATCTGCTCGGCCAGGGCTCGGTAACACTTCTGCAGCTGACGCATCTCCACCTGCACCAGAACACCAGAACGTTACACAGATACTACAGCAGAATGTGTTTGGGCCTGGTGGTGGGTGGGCGACCGGCTGGGCTGAACTGAATAATACCATAACGCTGATTTGTGTTTTGTTATTATTTTACTGGATACTGTTGTGTATTTGGCCTTTTATTGTATCATTACAATAAAAATCTTACTGTAAAGGTCCTATATTTTATATTTTTAAGACATGTTATAATGTTATTACCTCATCAAAAACATACCTTGAGTTGTGTTTTGTTTTATTCACACATGTTTGAGTAATCCTTCAGTATTAGTCTGTCTACATCTCCAAAGCACAAAAAAATAATTAGAGAATAACTCAGCCTAAATATGCAGGGTTTGTGTGTTTAAACATGTATGTGAATGAAGCAAAACACAACTTCAGGTATGTTTGTGATGAGGAAACATTATAACATAGATTAAAATAGTGCATATATGGGCCTTTAAAAATATTTATTGCACACATACAGTACATTGTTACACCTGTCACACTGAATACTTTGGCCACTGACAGAAGAACTGACTAATACAAAAATAACAAAGTAATGATTATTTTGTCTTTGTCAGTGATAGGAAGTTAAATGATGGAATAATATGAGTGAGTTTATAAGGCCTAAATGTGCTGACGAGAGTCTCGAGTCTAGAGCCTAGACTGACTCGTGTGGTGAGCTGCAGAGGTATCAGGTGTCGATAAAAGCTGGTCAATGGAAAGAGCAGAAAACCTGTAAAAAGCACCATAAAGTACAGTGCATCATTATAATAAAGATGGGAGGAAATATCTATAGACTGAATATAATAAATAGCAGCTCTAATTGAATGTTGGGGTGTAGAGAGAGGGGTCCGTGTGGAAGGGTTTTACTTTTGTTGTTATTATTATAACGAAAGAAAGAAAGAAATAGCAGCACTATTATACAAGAAATACATGTAACTGAGTTTATGCATTATTTTCTATAACTAACCTTCTAACACCATTACAAGGAGAACAATATGGAAAACTCTGGTTAAGTTTTGCATTGATTTATCTCACAGATTACAGAACCTTGGGAAGATAAAGGGAAGGCAATACGTCCATTGTAATTGAATAACTAAGACTATCTTGGTGTATAGGAGAGAGCAGTAAATAGTGACAGTCCATGGTGTACGTCACAATGAAATAATAGGAATATACATAAGAATTTTATTTAGGTTCTTGGTGTGGTGATTTTCCAAACCAAGTTGAAGTAAGTCCCCTCAGAGCAATCTTGAGTTCCACTTGTTCACTTTATATTGACACACTTGCTCTACTAATTACAGTTCATATGTTCATAGGAAACTATTTGATTCATACCTTGTGTCCCCTGTAGAAAGCTATCTCCTCTGCATTGGCGATGATCCTGGAGTGCACATAGCGCAGGTAGCCTTTTCTGTGCGCCTCCTCTGCCACAAGTTTACCAAACTTAGGGGAGCACGCCCTGAGAACTTTGGCCGTAGCAAACACCACCAGTCCGGCCAGGAGCGTGGGTCCAGAGGCGTTCGCCCCCCGGGACCTGGCTGTTTGTATGAGGGTGTAAGAGGTGAGCATCACATCCAAAATGGGCTTGGTGAGGTTGGAGTAGAGATGAGCCACGGACTGGGAAAACATCATGACATCCTCGGTTAAAGACTGGTCCGGGTTGGCCAGTCTGCCGTCCATGTTGCTGACTTTGTAGTAGGTTTGGTCCGTGAAGTAGGTCCGGTACGCGTGGTCCACGAGCCGGGTGCGGAAGGCCAGAGCCAGCTTGCACTCCAGGTAGCGGATGGCGCTGTTGACGAACGTGGCGGGGATGGCGATGAGGAGCCATTTGATCAGCTGCCAGATAAACCGCTTGGGTTTCTTTTCCACTATAGTTTTGACTATCTTACCGTCCAAACTGGCAACATAAATAGACAGAAACGTCCTGGATATGAGCGCCACAGAATGCAGCGACAGTAAACCTAATTCTTTAGATACCAGCTTAGGAAACAGGATTCTGCCCAGCTCTAGTATTTGTCTAAAAAACTCCGCGTTTACTCCCGGTGATGTCTTTTTCTCTTGTGCATTTCCTGAGCAGATAGAGCCGTTCTCCGCCTTGGAAAGCTGTCCGTTTGTGACCGGCTCGCCGCGCTTCCTCAGACGCCTACAGATGATGGGGTAGAGCGTCTTGATTCCGTAGGCGGCCGCCGCTAGAAACACGGCTCTCTTCGCCGCAGAGGTGCGCTCCCATCGCACCCTGGCCGCAGCATCGAGGATGTTGGACATTTTGCTGATATTAGATATTTCTGCTGACGGACCGTGCAACAGCCATCTCCCAAAGCCGACTCACCACAAACCCTGCCGCCGCATTGATGCGAAGAGGCACCGCCACCACCGCTACATCCTGCAGCTCTGAGTGCACTGTTTTCAGCATAAAGTAAACCCCCACTGTACTTCCGCCGTACTTCACAATAAAGACTCACAGACATCATTACACTGTAACAAGACCAAATAACTACCAAAACTGCAATTTACTATGACACAAATATGACTAAAGTATAGGTTTAGGGCAATCAATCTAAAATATTCTAATGAACATACATTTATTCTTATAGCTGTATGGATTTAATTGCCTTTGTGAGATTCTTATAAGCTGATTAAAATAAAATAAAATAATAATAATAATAATGATAAAAAAAATCCAAATAATAAATAAATAATACAATACGCCTTCCTTTTGTCACGTGACTGACGTAAACAAATATCTTGTTTGTTCAAGTCTCTGCTTCATGTCACTGTGATTAAAGTAATTATTTGCGCTCGTAATTATTTTACAATTAGTATAATCAGCCAGTTTCTACAGAGTAATTTAATATTCAGCAGTTGTTTAATTCTGTTTGGATTGCACCTGTTATGGGTAATTCTAACGTTAGCTGTTAGCTTGATAAAGTTAGCCAATTAACGTTAGCTTAACTAGTTAGATATTTACTACTTTTTATGTTATTTATTGTTCCTTTGTAGATTTACCTGTGTTTTGCAGTTAGATAAATCTACAATATGAATTGGGTTGGCGGTTCAAGGTAAGATATTTGTGGTTTTATATTTCTTTATATTTACAAATTCTCTGTTAGCTCGTTTTGCATAAAGAGAATACCTTATTTATTTACCTTACTGGTTTTACAGAAGCCGACTTTTGCAGAAAGATGACACGAAAAGACAAAGAGTAAGAAAGACTTTAGCTCTGTTCAACCTGTTTAAAACCTTTTATAAGTTAATTTTCTTTAATTGATTTCTCACAGGAATTCTTTGAGAAGAGGAAACTCCAGCAGAAGTTGAAGAACTTGGGTCTTCCTTTACCAAAGTCCTCTGAGGCATCACTGTCCACTAATGGCAGCATGGACCTGGTCACATTGTTCATTGTCAATCAGATAGCTGCCAAAAAAGAAAATAAAGGTAATGATTTTTCCTCACTAAAACTCATTTAATACTATTTTACAGAACATGCAGTGTTGGGGAGTAACAGATTACATGTACCGGCGTTACGTAATCAGAGTACAAATTATGAGTAATTGTATTCAGTTACAGTTACTGTTTCAATGAGTGGTAATTGGATTACAGTTACTTTGTTGAAATAAATGGATTACATGGCGGTATTTTCCTGTTTTCACATTTTGGGCTAAACCAGGACTAAAACAGGACTAAAACCAGAACTAAACCATGACTAAAATCAGGACTAAAACTGGACTAAACCAGATCTAAACCAGCAATAAACCAGGACTAAAACCGGACTAAACCAGGGCTAAACCAGGACTAAACCAGTTCTAAACCAGCACTAAACCAGGACTAAAACCAGACTAAACCAGGACTAAACCCAGACTAAACTAGGACTAAAACCAGGTCTAAACCAGGACTAAACTAATACAATATGATGCTAACAGTAGGGTGGACATAACTGAAGTCAGCAGTGATCTCATATAAAAAATATTTCTATATCAATAATATTTTTAGTATGGTCAATTAAAGACTGAACAAACAAGAACTTTCATGATATGGTCGCTACATTCGTGTAGTTTTAAAAAACATGACAATATCAAGTAATCCAAAGTATTCAGATTACGTTACTCACTTTAAGTAATTTAATGGATTACGTTACAAACTACATTTTGGTGTATGTAATCTGTAATCTGTAGGGGAATACATTTTAAAAGTAACCTTCCCAACACTGTTGACTAGTAACTTACACTTCTGAAATCTGTCAATCACTCAGAGCAGTGTTTCTCAAACTATGATACGTACAGTCAAATTAATCCACATTTTTGTCTTTGTTAGTATAGTCTAGGTGTAGTTCAATATTAGCCTTGGTTTTGGTTGGTCTTAAATTAGACCTGTTGTAATCCTGTTTTAGACTTGGTTTGGATCTGGTGGTCAGAAGGCCAAATATTTTCTTAGGTGGTGTCAAAAGTGAGAAGCACTGACTCAGAGCGTGAACTAGGCTCACCAATCAGAGAAGCAGATGTAGAAAGTCTGTGTTTGACCTTATATAGGCTCTATTCATGCTTATGCCACAAACCAAGAAGACATTTGGAAAGATGTGAATACAACTTCCCAGGCCCAGTTTTCTTTATCTACATGTCATAGCAGTGTTCGGCTGATCAACAATTGCAATTATACCTCAGTTTTCATAATTTCCCCACTGACACACAACTCTGAGTGCACTGGGTACATGCAATTAGAAAAGCTGAGGATGCCAAATTCAAGATTATTCCAAACAGCACATACGTATGCAGTCTTCATTTTACCACTGATGACATTTACTTCAGTGGGTTTTATCACAGTTGGTTTTAACAGATCCATGTTAGATGAGCCCATTGTCGGTAGCTACACTGGAAGTTGTAATTGCATCTTCCTGGTTTGTGATGTAAGCGTGAATAAAGCCTCTTACATCACAAAAATAACATTGTTAGAGGATGGATCACAGTTTCAAAACATATTGCCCATCTATAGATCATAGAAGTTAAATTTTTCAAGGATTTTGTGAAAATACAAAAATAAATTGCGTATGTCAATAACATGATTTTCTGAATGGCATGGTGGTGTTTATTTTTATTTTCTTGGACTGTAAAAATAATTTCTTATAGACAGACGTTAAAGCCAAAGATACCTACAGATACAGCAGGTTCTGGAGAGTAAAATGAGACCCAAAAAAATTCATTTAGCCAAAAAATTACTTGACAGATCTGCTAGGAGGCTGGAGATTTGTAACAGGTGCAATAAGGGGAGTAAAGATGGAAATTAGCGTTGGGTACAATCCTACATAATTACAAGTACATGTTTTTTCTCTTGCATTACCTTGTGTTTTAATATGCATTTTCCTTTTAATAAATAAATACAAATACAAAGAGGGTGACCTGTGTTTTATTTACAGACCCTCCTAAAGTGTCTGTACTGGGCAGTGGCAGCAGACCAGTGTCCAAACAGAGGCAGAGACTAAATGAGCCTCTGGTGCTTCCCATGAGCCCCTGCTCCCCCTCACAGCTCATGCTGGTCGAGAGCCAGCCACACGAGTACAGGTAAAGAGGTTTGAAGACTGAAGATTTTTACATTGCATTAAGTGAATGAATTCAGCTAATTAGTCAGTTTTTATGCTTGAATTGTTCATCATTCTACTCTTCATATTGTGACAAATTACTTAAAATGTCTGGACTGATACTTAATTTTTTTATTATGATATGGGTCTGTGTACCATTTGTTTTGAATTTCAATTAAGAATGAAAAAACAATAAAACGGGAAAACAGGTTGTTATTTCATTATTTTGCTTTATTGTCCAAAAAAAAAAAAAAAAGATTTCCACCTCTTTTTCCAATATTTAATTTAAAGTTTATTTCAGATAACATCACTCAAAACAGTCTCAGTGCCTATTTTAATTTAGATATTTTAATCTCTCTGATTTATATGAAGTTCTGCTTCTAGAAGGACTTAATTGAAAAATTGTTTATAGCAACGCATTTACTTTCGTGTCCTAGAAAGTAATTGTTATACTCCATGATGAGAACAGGTAGCAGCGAGGCGATAAACTTTGACACCGTGACTCTTTGTAATTTGTGTTATTTGAAATAAACTTTAAATTAAGTATTGGAAATAGAGTTCGAAATCTGTTTTTTTTTTGGTTTGACACTAAAACAGAATAATGAAATAATAACCTGTTTTCCCATTTTATTGATTTTTGTTCTTAATTGAAATAAAAACAAAAACAAATGGTACACAGACAGATATGACGTGCCTGCATGCGTAAATGTGCACTTATTTAAGTTTTTGGTTGGGGGTCCGTCAGCTGCTTGTTTCTATGGATATGGTCATTGCTCTATCTGGAATATTACACAGTGTGACTTTAAACAGCTCTACCTTACATTTATTCAATTAGCTCAAAAATACCTATAAACACATTATGACTCTCCAGAAAGATAGAAAGGTTTAATACAATATTGTGAAACATTCCAGACAAAGCAATTTCCCAAGGTCCCAAGCAAAGCATTTTTGATGAACCCTCCACCAGAAAAGTTATACAATGTACCTTTAAATTAAAAGTTTGTGAATAAGTGTTTATCCCAAACTTAAGATAACAAACTTACCTTCATTAGTAGTTGGTTGCATCCTGAAATAGTATGTGCGTGTATGTTTCTTACTGTATTTGTCACTTCTTTGTTTTTCATTTCAGTTTCACAAGAAAAAGAAAACATGTGTCCCAGGTTTGTTAAAGTTCGGCATTTACTTAAAGTGCATATGACAGGTTAGACTACACATTTCACAAACATGTAGCTAACATAATGATATTTAAGATAAAATGTTGTAGATGTTGTTTTTCCTAGTTTTATCTCTTGGTTTATAATTTGACTATTTAACATGGGCAGCAGATGTGGCAGTTACCTAGCAGTTACCTGAGCTTTGACCCCTGAAAACAAGGGTCAAAGCTCACTTAAACTGTCTGAAAAATGTGTTCCTTAAGCGTAAACTGTTTTGGATTGAACAGAGTTTTGAATGACATAGACAAATTCCTTTTAAGAACCTGTATTTTTTTCTTGATTTCAGCTTTTCCTCACAAACTATCTATAGACAAAAGTAATAATTAGGAAAACAATGAAAAAATGACCTGCTATATGCACTTAGACACTACACTTATTTTAGCACCTTAATCTCTACATTATAATCTGTTTTTATGTCTCATCTCTGTGTAGTTGTCCCCAGTGCTGGAGTCAGCTTTCTCAGACATCAGTGCCTCAGACTATGTCCCTCACGCTGCAGACGC